CTATCTCCTCCATCATGAGCGGCGGCGGCGGCAATCAGCAACAACAATAGTAACGACAACATGGAAACAACAGCCAGGAATCTTTGAATGTTTTTTTTTTTTTGGTTCTTTTGTTCTTACTGTGGATGCTACGTCATTGATAGGCATGAAACGTGGCCTTTCTAGATTGGTTGCTCTTTTCCTTTTCTTTTCATCATCATGTGACGTGCCCTCCATCATCAATGTGGACATATAGGGTTGACGTTTTTATTGTAGAAAAACGTGGGAAAATGTATAATCTCTTGTTCGTTCTTTTAGGGCGCCGGCGGGAAGGGAAGGAATTCCGTCAAGCTTAGTGGCTTAGGCCTTAGGGTTAGAATTTAGATAAAAGATGAGACCATTCAATTCCTTTGTACCAAAGCTTCCTTCGTTTTATTCTTCGTCTATTGAATTTGAATAACTTTTTCCTACTTATCAAATGAAGTTAATTAATTGTTTGTTAGGATGTGGTATATATAGATCCATACATGCAGCTTTCCCAACTACTCGAATTATTGAGTCCGGTTAGTCTTTAATATGGTACCAAAGTTGGTTTACCCTGAGGAACCATGTGTTAAAAATTCTCATGGTACTCAATATTAACCGTTGATTAAGCCATATAATATGTTCTATCTATAAAAATTTCAACTCCACATGAGTTTACTTTCGTTCGATGAGGCGATATGGTAAAAAATAATATAGATCCATACAAATACCTCTGATAACAATGACGCGGGAACTGGGAACTGGAAGTCAAGTAATACGGCTTGCTGGGTTTGACACGTTACAAACAAGAAAGGTTGAATATACGAAAGTACTTGTTGTATAACGTGAATTGTTGACGAAAGGAAAAGGAATAATGTGAGGGCCTGGAGACTGGACTTAATAAGGAAGGAGACTTCCAGGAAGGGAAGGCAGTAAGTTCAATCAAAATCGCGTAATAAATTGGGCCACATGAAACCAGTGCCTTGCTAGCTAGCTTGGATGGCAAATTCAGAATTGGGTTTCTTCTTCGGATTTTGTCAGGTTCTGAGATGCCTTTCCATTTTCCATGGTGGTCAACTTTGGCAGAAGCCAGGGGGAAAAAAATACAAAGAACCTGAAGGCGACGTGGCAGTTGTTTATTAGCTGGGTTGGTTGCTGAAGGCAGCAGTCAGATACGATTGCAGACTAGTTGAGTTGGCACTGGTCTGGTGTGGGTAGACATGAGGTCATTCACTTTCAGACAGTCGTGGGTACTACTAAAATTAATTAATTAACTCGTCATTAAAGATGTTAAATATGAACGGGGACGTGTCGTGGGACTTGGTGAGTGGAGCGCCTCGTACCGCATCTAAAACCGTACGATCTCTCTCTCTCTCGTCAAACCTATTAATTTGTAGGTTGTGAATGAATCATTAATTTTCTGATGTTTTGTTCATCAATCATTATACCATTCCACATGCTCTCATGTGATCTTTAGCTCCGATCCCAAAGATGCATTTGCATTGCATGCAATCCAAGTAAACTTTCCGTCGCCTAGGGCTTTCTTTTCCCATGCTGCTGCAAGCCCCCTTTTTTTAATCACCATATGGGTTCAACCATATCATGATTCTGATCACGTTCCTAGTTTCACATTTTGTAGCCAATTTAGAATGCCTTACCAACATATATACCTACTTGCACAACACCATTTGTGGAGAGCCAACAATGAATTAGAATCCAAGTTGTCACCCAGAATTCGATTGTTGTTCTGTCGGTCTAGCAAGTAAATTAAGTGTACGTGGTCATATTGTTTTAATTATCCGGTTTACCTTGCGTGTGAAAAAAACCATAGTTAATATCAAGATCCAAGTCATTTTAGATTAGGATCGCTTGATCATCCATGAATAACAAATTATTTGACAATTGGCCAGCTTCTGGAGGCCTTCTTACAGGCCCGATAAAGACACTACGTCTGGGTCAAACCAGTTCGCCCACGGGTTAACAAATTTGATTGGAATAATCACATATTAAGAAAAGGATAATACTATAATGTCGTAACTAAAACTTGGAGCCACTCCATGTACCTAGGACTGTTAATCGGTTAACCTAAAAACGGTCAGACAAAGTCAGAGTTAATCGGCTACCGCAAACCTATAATAACTCTGTTGATGATGTTTTTGGTCGGGTTCTGGCTATATCGGTTAACCTACCGGTTATCGTGCACTAATTACTAACCGAGAGTAGTCACCACTCACTAATCCTCCACCAAACAAGTTGTCTCCTTCCTTCCCAATCGTGAGATTCTGCATCTGCCGTCTCTCTCAACTCTCAATTTCTCGTCCCTTATTCTCATTTCTCAAATTTGTCCCTAAAATTGAGTAATCAACACACCTAGTCCAACCACCCATTCTTACTCTCAAGTCATCTCTCTCTCTCTCTCTCTCTCTCTCTCTCTCTCTCTCTCTCTCTCTCTCTCTCTCTCTCTCTCTCTCTCTCCCCCCCCCTATCCCAAGAAATCAACGCAAACTGAAACTCCTTTGTTCAAATTTTCCTCGTCGCTCGCCACCTCCACCTTGCACAAGTAGTCACTCTCCTCAGCTCCATGTCCTTTATGGTGCAAAAATAAGAAGAGAATGTTAAGCACAACTGCACAAGGGTCTATTTATTGTCAGTTTACTTACTAAGATAAGGTTGAAAGTAAACTAACGAACAAACAAAACATCCTCAAGTATCAGACAATTAAGGAAGTTAACATTGCCTATATGTGTTGCTTTAACTCTATCACATGTAGGCAAGTTGATGAAAGGTCTGGATCGGGAAGGAGCTGTAGGTCTTTGCTGCATTTTTGGAGGGTAGCCCTTCTTTTTGAAGCATTAATCTTCGATATGGCCTATCCTTCTGCAATAGGTGCACTCTGGTAGCTTAGAAGACGAATTGGGGTTTAGAGTGGAACCTCTTGGAGTCAATCTTGGAGGCCATCCATGTTTGTAATAGCAGGTCTCCTTTGTATGACCAGGAGCATTGCAAAAGGTATAGTTTGGTCGTTTTCCAGGAATGTATGGTTGTTTGGAACCTCGAGCTACCAGAGCTATGGTTTCAACTTCCAGAATTTTGTCATGTTGAGTGCCATAGAGTTGCCTTTTGTGCTGCAACATCCTTTGACAAACCCTGTCTATGGGCGGCAATGTGTATCCAAAAAGGACTTGAGATCTCACAGATGCATAGTTATCATTCAGGACGCGAAGGAATTGAATGACATAGTTAGTATTTCTATATCCTATCACAACATTCATGGCGGGATAGTTTGTGTGGCTAGTGGCTGTGCAGCGACAAGGTTCTATACGCTGGTAGTTGTTTAACTCATTTTGTATAGCAATTAAGTTGCCATAGTACTCAGTTACAGTTTGATACCTTGCTTAAGAGTGCCAAGAGATCCAATCAACTCAACAACACAAACCATGTCGCCTTGACTATAACGTGCTTCGAGACTTGTCTAAGCTTCTAAGGCTAATTTGTAAGACATTATTGTCTACTCAATGATAGGTTCCACAGCTTGCTGAATTCGGTTGAGAACCATGATATAGTTTTTGTTCCAAGACCAGAACTGAGCATTATAAGTGGTAGGGGGCAGTTGATGGTACCATTGATGAAACCAAATTTGTTCTTGGCTCCTAAAGTATTAAGCATGACCTTGCTCCAGTCGTTGTAGTTAGTGGTGGTCAGTTGCTCACCTACCAACATCAACCATGGCTGCTCAGAGTCATGAAGATAAAAGGGATCCGCCATGGGATCCTGCTATTGTTGTGCCATATTTTGGAAGGCGGCTAGAGTTTCTCTGATACCATAACACCAAATGTTACCTTTGAAACCCTAACTTACTTTTCATTGATCAACATTGTGGTTTATATATACAGGGTCGAGCAGAAGAAGACAACAAGCTCTTAACTGTTGACAAGAAGAAAAGTAGAGGAAACAAAAAATGAGAGGGAACGAAATCTGAATTAGTGAAAGAGACCTTGGAGTCTCTTGTGGCACAACGACGACGTACAGCAATTCCTGCCTCCATTGCCCGAGAGTCGAGACGATGCTGCTCCACTTGATCTGCTTACTACCCGTTATTACTTTGTGTTCGAGTACTGTAGATGGCGAAAAATTAACATTTTTCTTTATATGTTGGGTTGATTCACTCAGGTCATTGTTCTTTTTCTTGTAGAAAGCAATCGAATCTTATCTACGTGATTAAGAGACGTAGCGAATTGCCATTGTGGGCTGGAATCAACCCTCGCGGTTAAACAAGACTATCGCTCACCACTCACTCATTCACCCGACCCCTTAACGCCAAGCTTTTCATTGTGGGCTGGATTTCAAGCCGTCTGCCGCTATATTGGGTCGACTTATCTACTGGGCCCGAGAGTCCCAAATGATTCCCGTATAATCAATACAAACAGAGGCTGAGTTACAGCCCGCATAGCGCCCTTAAACTCCGCCCGATATGGGCTGAAAAGGCTTTTTGAGCATGTGAATGGGCTTGTCAACAAAGCCTGAACAGCAACTCAGAGGGCCCACATGTATGCGAATAACGACGACGATCGCAGAAGCCGGGGGTGGCGAAGTGCAACAATCGGAAGGAAGGTGTGGCGTGCAGAGAACAGCCAAAGTGCATGCGGCAACGACACGTCAAACCCCCCCCCCCCCCATTACATGGGTCCCACTTTTTCTCTTTCTCGTCCTTTCCTTCTCTTTGTTTCGTCAGTTGCAACCGCCACAGCACGAATCCCATGCGGCCGCTTACACGTAGACCACATTTGGATTGGAATTCCTCCGCCAAAACAAAATCGATAGTCCCGTGATCATATCCTCGATCAACGGCCACGATTCTTCGAGCGGGAATGAGGGTGTAAAGCTTTATTAGCCGAAAACAAGAAAAAAGTTGACGGGCAGTTTTCCTTTGCTTTCTCTCTCTCTCTTTCCTCTCCTATATATGCTCTCCCGATTGTTCGTCATTTACTTCACCATTTTCTTTCCGCCATTGGAGGTTGCTTCGTAGTCCAGGAAACTTCCCGCATTGCTGTTCATCATCTTCTTCCTCAATCTGTGAGTGAGACTCTTCTTCTGCATGCGTTTCTAACTAAGTAAACTATGATTAATTGCTTGATTGCTTAAGATTGTTCCATGGCTTCTTCATTTCAATGTTTTCGTCGCCCTTGAGAATCATTCTAGTCTTTGTTGTACTACTTTCTTTTGGCATTGTATCTGCTTTAATGTCGCAGCAGGCATAGATACCTCATAGTTCATTGCTGTGAGTGATTTCCTTTCTATTCCGGCGAATTTTTAGCCGGTTTCTGTTTGAGAGTAAGGGCAATGGTGCAAAAAAGTTGAACAGTAAGATAGAATTGAAAGTGGAAAAGAGGATGAACGAACTAATCACTGAGGAACCAATTGATTAAAGTGCAGCTTTCAACATCCATTTGATGCGATGGGGCTAAAGCTTTACTCTGGTGCTGCTGCTTTTGAATTCGACGACAAAAATCCGATTCGGATAGGTTTTCTGGGTGTTACTTTTGTTTGCTGGCCTACTGAGCTTCCACCAGCTCTGCTGTTTTGAGTGGAAACAACACTGGTTACTGATTAGGAATTCATTCACAAAGTAAAGTAATTCCACCAGCTTGAGCTTTTGGATGCTTTTTTACGTTATGTAGAAAAGTTATGGAGGTTTACGGCTTTTGCTGAATCAGTTCCTTTTATCTTGTTATCTAAGGATGCTGTCGTAACTCGTAAAGCCCACCCTGCATAATATTTTACTTTTGGGGGAGGAAACAAATGCTATATAGGGGTGTTAGTAATTAGTTGATCTTCCAATTACCATTGCTGAACATTGATCCTCTCTCCCTAATACTCATCAACAGGTTGTTTCGATCTTTGGGTAGTGATGGGAACGAGCCGTTGTAAAGCGATGGAGTTATTGCCTCTGCTGCTCTGCTCCGTCGTCCTGTTTTCTTCGGTGGTGTCATGCGAGGAAAAGCTTGTCAGAATTGGGCTGAAGAAGCTCAGATTTGATCAGAATAACCGAGTAGCTGCTAGGCTGGAGGCCGGTCATGCTCGCGAGGGACTGCGAGCTGCGCTTAACAGGAAGTATGGCGGCCTGCTGGGCGACAAGGGTGATCCACGAGACACCGACATTGTGGCTCTGAAGAACTACTTGGATGCTCAGTATTATGGTGAGATTGGTGTGGGCACTCCTCCCCAGAAGTTCACTGTTATATTTGATACTGGTAGCTCTAACTTGTGGGTGCCTTCCGCTAAATGCTACTTCTCTGTGAGTTCCCTTTATCTCAGTTTTGGTTTCTGCTAAAGCTGTGTTTAGTCTTTTCCTCGGTGTTGTTGCCTGTTGGTTTAACATAGGGTGTTGTTTGATTCTGCTATAAGGTCTCGTGTTTTCTCCATGCCAAGTACAAGTCTAGCCAGTCTAGTACCTACCAGAAAAATGGTTCGTGTTCATATAAATTAGTATCCTTGTGAAAATTCATTTATTTTCGGACTTGCTTGAATCTATGTTGTCTAAACGACTTGAATATTTCTCAGGCAAGAGTGCTGAGATTCAGTATGGTACTGGAGCTATTGCCGGGTTTTTTAGTGTTGACCACGTCAAAGTTGGTAAACTGGTAGTCAAAGATCAGGTAACTAACACCATCCATTCTCTTTCATCAATTACTCAATCCAGATTCTGGTTTCGGGCAATTGAATATCGTTCTTGTAAAATTCCTGTAAACTTGACAGGACTTTATTGAGGCAACGAGGGAGCCTGGTGTTACCTTCTTGATGGCGAAGTTTGATGGTATTTTGGGGCTTGGATTTCGTGAGATCTCAGTGGGAGATGCTGTTCCCGTCTGGTAAATGCTCCTGTGTTTCTGTTATCGAAGGTTTGTCGGATTATATCTCAAGTATTTTTCATTGAAGGACATGATTGATTATCTTGCGGGGACAACATGATGAAACAAGGCCTTATCAAGGAGCCTGTATTTTCCTTCTGGCTAAACCGCCATGTGGATGAAGAGGAAGGTGGTGAGATTGTGTTCGGAGGTGTTGATCCAAATCATTTCAAAGGAAAGCACACTTATGTTCCCGTGACTCAGAAAGGTTATTGGCAGGTAAATTGATCACAATTACCATAGGGTCTTTCTATTTGATCATCCACCCTAACTTTGGTAGTAGCTCTATATTACTAAAAGTCGGCCCTTATTGTTTGTCATTTTCTGTGGTAGTTTGACATGGGAGATGTTATCATTGGCGGCAAACCCACTGGTACTCGTTGTTTGATGTTAACAGTAATTTGCACTCATGAACTAAATTTATGTGAAAAGTATCTTGGTTCTGTGGAGTTTATGTATATCTTGGAACATTTTCAGGTTATTGCGGACGTGGTTGTTCAGCAATAGCAGATTCAGGAACTTCCCTGCTGGCAGGTCCAACGGTATGAGATATCTGTGCATAGCTATATACCTATAAAATTTTTGTGCAAAGGATACTGAAGTTTTGCCTACTCTCCGCTGCTCTTTCAGACTGTGGTTGCCATGATAAATAAAGCAATTGGAGCTTCTGGAGTTGTTAGCCAGCAATGCAAGACTGTCGTTTCACAGTATGGACAAACCATCCTTGATTTGCTAATGGCTGAGGTGAATATTAGACCTTATTTTCTTTGGAACCCGATTTCTAACACTACAGCTCAATGCGCCTTCTGCTTTTACTCCAATATTTGTTGATTATTCTTCAATATTTACAGGCTGGACCAAAGAAGATCTGCTCTCAAATTGGGCTCTGCACATTCGATGGAACCAAAAGTGTGAGGTAAGACTATAACAGACTAAATCAGATGGCGTAGTTCCTGAACTGGATTCTGGTCTGATGCTTGTTCTCCGTGTTTTATTTAACAGCATGGGCATCGAGAGTGTTGTGAATGAAGGCGATGAGAGGTCATCTGGAGCTGTCAATGATGCCATGTGCTCCGCATGTGAAATGGCAGTTGTTTGGATGCAGAACCAGGTGATGCAGAATCAGACACAAGAACGCATTCTGCAATACGTTGATGAGGTTAGTTACCAGATAGACTCCACGTCACACTAGTTTCCTCCTGCTTTTTTACAATCTGATACATTTTGGCATTGTGTTCAGCTCTGTGATCGAATGCCGAATCCTATGGGAGAATCTGCCGTCGAATGTGGAAGCGTTTCTTCCATGCCAACTGTTTCCTTCACCATCGGAGGCAAAGTTTTCGACCTCCGACCACAAGAGGTATATCATCATCCCCTTGTTTGATTTCTTAGTGCGCCATGGATAGAGAATGTATGATGATGTGCATGCATGAATTCGTTGGCTTTGGTTGTTCTTGTTGTATCAGTACATTTTGAAGGTGGGCGAGGGCACAGCTGCTCAGTGCATCAGTGGGTTTACTGCGTTGGACATTCCTCCTCCGAGAGGCCCTCTCTGGTAACGAATCCTTACTTCCATCACTACATGCTGAATAGTAATTTGGGATACACATTGTTTACAATTCCACACTGATTGATTCCTTCTTCTGTGTTCAGGATACTGGGAGATGTTTTCATGGGACGCTACCACACGGTGTTTGACTACGGGAACATGCAAGTCGGATTCGCAGAAGCGGCTTAACAGTGTAACTGCTAGTCCGCGCTTATGTAGTAGTATTGAAAGTTGTTGCTGGCTTGTTGAACTGTGTAATAAAGTTTAAGGGTTTCAATCCACCCGTGTAAAGAAACCACTTAATCAGCTGAGAGTTTGAGTATGTGCAATGTAAATAGTGCCATAAGTATGTGTGTGTATAGATGGAGAGACAGAGAGTGCTTAGTCCCCCCTTCTCGTTTCTCTTTCGGTCACTTATCATGTTCAAAGATGTCTGTTGCTTCTTACTTTTGAGGGTGCAAACTAATCAGTCAGCTTGAGGCCCTCTTTTCGTTCATCTTCACATATCGTGGATCATGTCCTTTAATGCACGGTTGAATCGGAAAGAGTCGGAAGAACGCAGTGTGCTTAAACAACTGTAGTGTATTCAACAGAAGAACTAGAATCCCAATTGTGCTCATGCCTCAAATTACCCAAGATCAGTGGCCTATGTCTTGTGCTCTTGCCCCAAATTACTAAGCCTACAAAACCAGATGAGTTTACATGAGAGTTTTTTAGCCTACCAGTAATATAATCAGAACCCATCAAAGGAAAAAACCCAATGAGCAAAATCAGCGTGTGAAGTGTTAAATTTGAAGGAAATCAAGCTTCTTTAAGCAAACAAACGATCAAGAACCCTTCTTGCTGTCGGAACGAGACAGCTTGAAGTCGAGCGACTGTAACTTGTTCTTCAAGGCTTGGTTCTCCCTAGGGGTGTCGGTTCGGGTCGGGTAGCTGAACCCGAAACCTGAGAAAACCCGAACCTGTTAAGCACAACCCGAAATCGAACCCGTTTATTCTGCTTTGCGATTTTCGGGTACACTTACCCGAAATTTTGTATGCAGTTCTGGGTCGGGTTGGTTGAACCCAAAACTGACCCGTTGTGTTTTTTTTTTTTGTGGAATGTTTTTTTAATTTTTTTGTGATTAACAATTTTATTTTATTATTTGTACATTCTATAGAAAAGTTATATTTACCAACATTAGGTGATAGAATATTAGTCTAAATATTATATTTTACTAAGTTTGAGTCTAAAATGTATCTTTACTTTATATTACTACAAATAGTATTACCAACATTAGGTGATCGATTAGAATTAGTCTATGTATAATATAATTACTAAAGGATCCCCCTATAAGGTCAATTTCATTTCACTCGTTATACTTTTAAGTTACTCATTTGTATATATATTGATAAATTCTATAAAACGTAGATATTGATACAATTTGTATTCGCGAAATGATTTTTATTTTATAAAAAAAGAACACAATCATCTGTTTCTAAGTTTTCAGATTCTTGACTAGGCTCTCAATAATTATTTTCATCCAGATTTACTCGGTTGAAAGGTTCTGCAAAATCACCCAGGACGACTAGCAACCAAATCGTTCCAGTAGTACTAATACATTTAAGAATAATAACATCCACAATGTCAACTTTAGGTAACTAGATTTTTACCCGTCCGTTGGACAGTGTATTATGTTTGGTTATTTTATAATTCGTTATAGTATTGTAATTATTATTATTATTATTATTATTTATGTTTGTTGAGCTAATGTACATGGAATTGTAAATCTCACTTACCTTATTTTAGGTAATGTTTCATACTTTTATCCTTTTTTATTTATGAAAAATTTAATTTTATTAACTTAGCTCTCTTTAGATGGTTTTTTATCGATTTAAAATTTTTGTATCGAACTAAAAAAGTGATAAAAAAGTTAAAAAATTTAAGGCCACAAACAAAAAGGTTATAATAAGAAAATATGCTTCAATTAATAAAAAAAAATAAGCTAAGAGCTTTTTATTTTCTTTCCCTTCTCATATGTCCGTATATGATAATAGAGAATATTCCGATCTGGATCCACAAATATCGTGTATTATCAGTTACACCTGCAATTCTGGAATAATGATGAAACGCATTAGCATCCACATCCATCAATCTTCCGGATACTCATTTAATTTATCTTGGCAATGTTCTAGCAAAACCAACCACAAACAGAACTATCAGTTGTCACTAATTTATTAAAACAATATTTTCAGTAAACTAAACTGCATATCAACACAATTTATATTTTATAGAGAGCTACATATCTCCTGCAAAAAAAAAATGGTGTTTTATTACCTAATAACAACATAGACAAATAATGAAAGGAGTATACTTCAATACAACTCAATGCATTCTATCTTGCAAATTCCTAATTTGTGAACTGAATTTATGCACCAATCCAAATAGTAGTTGGTATAAATCAATCATGTCAAAATCAAGCTTTAGTTAGGGATTCAATGAGGAAAATCATAAAGAAACAAACAAATGTCATTGCAAACGTGTAGAAATTGAAAAAACATCGAAATACGCAACCGAGAAACCACCACCATCATTTTGTTTCTTCTTCGCGACCTTTATAAAACCCCAATTATGTTCCCTTCTACTTATAATCTCTTTGCTACCTACTAATTACTAACCAGATCATCATCTTATAGCTAGCTAGTAGCATGTCAATCATGAACATAAAGAATATAATGAACAACCCTCACAACTCTACTTTCCATTTCAACATCTAAGCAATCGGATTGCAATAGCCATTTAAGGAAAACGATCAATTATTAAACCAAAGGAGATATGCCCTAAGTCCAATCAATTATCCCTTCTAATTATATATTACCTATTAGTATATGACGTAATAGATAACATAAAAACAAATCCATGAAAACGATGAAGAAATAAATTCGCTCATCGAGTGGGGAAATTTACCATCCAACAGTCTTAATTTGGAATAAATTAAGAAAAGAATGGAAAGAAGAGTGAGCAGTTGCCAACTTCAAATCAAGGAGGAAGAGGGAGCAGTCGACAATCCTAGGTTTGGTTCACCTCGTCTTCGCAATGATAGTCGGATGAACTGTTTTCATCAACAAACAAAATATGTTACAACTGCTTAAAATTTTGCTATCTAGTCGTTGCCTCGTGTACCTCCCTCCTCCTATTATCCTACAAAGAAGAAAAAAAACTTTATATGCATTACCATCTCCTTCTCTAACTAATTTTTTATTTTCAATATTTGGATTTTATTTCTAGAGAGACAATCAAAATGGGAAAAGGTAGAGATAAATTAACAGGTTGCATTCATAATTAATATGTTTTCATTTAATTGGAATGAATAAGAAGTGTTTTAAAAAAACAACAATTATTGCTCTGCCAAGTTTAACATCAGTCTTTTTTCTATATAAATTATTCTTTTTTTTTTTATAAGTATATGCATTAGGAAGAATTGAGTGTTTGATAGCAAAAAATATATAGTCATATAGTTCATTTTTCAAAGTCGATTGATTGTCAAACACTTATTTTCTCTTAGGCCATCGTTTAAATTTTTTTAATTAAAAAATTATTATGATTCATATGTGTGCTTGTTTTTTTCCATCAAAATGTAACTTATTATAATGTTTTAGTAAAAATGAATAGAAAATTTGCTTATTGAGATTTATTAAGATATTTTTGGGTTAAACAAATACGGTATATGTCACTCTCTATTTTCATCTTTATAGTCTGTTTAATTGAAAATTTTTTTATTACTTATGTGTTTTTTTCTTTAAATGTTTCACAAAAAATGTAAATTATTTTAAGTTTTAGTAAAAATGAGTAGAATGATTAAAAGAAGAGAGATAGCTCCATAAATAGATCAATAAATAAATTTTTGTTTGTAAAAAAATTGTCCACCTTGGCATCTTGTGAATTCACCAAGTGCTTATGTGGCAAGAAGTTACTTTTGAATAGCCATAATATTAAGTATAGATAGATAGATAGATAGATAGATAGATAGATAGACAATGTTAATAAGGCTAATAACATCCTAAACAAGATAAACATCACGATCATTATCACTCCACCCATTCAGACTCTACATCCACACAAGTCTCATCATTCCCATCAGAATCCTCATCAAAATAATATTGTTCAACTTGTGACCTAATAGGACTCGAGATCAGAACATGGGCAGAATGTGAGCTTCCACTAGGTTCTGCAGATGCACTTCCACTTCGAGTTTGAAAAGTTGCAAATACTGAATAACATAAACAATAATAACTTGTGAGAATATGATTTGATTACAATAACAAATATAAGAATAAACATAAGAATGAAGAGAAAGATTAAGTCCTTACCATTTTGAAATACAACTTCATACCCTCATCTTCTCCATCAGCCACCAAGTCAGAGTCAGAAGATCTTATCCAATCTTCACAACAAATCAAAGCCTCCACAACTTTAGGGGATAAGGAGGTCCTAAAAGAATCTAAAACTCGACTTCTTGTGCTGAATGCTGACTTAGAAGCAACAATGGAAATAGGAACAACGAGAATATCGCAAGCCATCTTAGAAATAGTAGGATATTTCATCCCACTTCTCGACCACCATCCCAAGATATAAAACTTGTACTCATCATCTTCAGAACCCACCATTGCTCGTGTAACCTCCTCATCCTCCTCCTCCTCCTCCTCAAGGTACCTATCAAACTCAGATTTGGAACTTTTTCTAGTTCTTTTCAGAATGGCCTCTCTTTTCTTTTTCCTGAAATCAACCCAAAACTTCACTTTCTTCTTTCCATCTCCACTTCCACTAGGTTCTTGCTCCTCTTCTGGAATCACAATGGGAGAACTACCATGAAGTCCGAGCCTATGCTTATAATGGTCAAATAGAACACACATTTCATATTTCACCTCTTCGACCAAAGCTTTCCCCTTGATATCACCATATACCTTCTCCAAAGCTTCTTCAAGATATTCAACTTTGCGCCTAGGATCCAATATGACTGCCATATAGCACAACCGATTTAGCTTTGAATTTTCTAAGACTTCTTCAAACCAATACTTGGCAAGTTTGGACTTGATTCTTTCAGCCATGCAACACATCTCAATATCCATACTATCAGCCCACTCAGAAATCATATTATGCAACTCACATATCTCATCAAACAAGAGGTGTAAAGTCACATATGAAGTCCTAGAAACTCGAACTGTCAAATCATAGAAGAGCTTCAGGTAAGTAATTAACCGTCCTGCACTTGACCAATCATCATAAGTTGGGATACCAAGGCTTTTATTTCTATATTTCTTTTCAGTGAGATGTTTCTTGAATTTCTTCTCATTTCTGGCCAATGTTTGGAATGCCTTCTCAAATGGTTTGGCAGATTCCAACATAAGATATGCAGAGTTCCACCTTGTAGTTACATCCAAAGACATAAATTTCTTCAACACTATCTTTTCAAACTCAATGCAATCTTTGAATTTTCTAC